GGCTGCCGCCGGGTCCCCTCAGCGGGCGGCGCGGTTTCTGACGGGGATTAGCGGTCTCTGAAGAGCCGTCTGGCAGCCGGGGAGCGAAGGTTCTTCGTGTCCCGCCGCAGGCCGCTGTGCGGGGCCGGGGGAAGGCAGGCGGTCCAAGGGGGTCGCCATCTTTCCATGGTGCTTTGGCGGAAAGCGAGTGGTTTTAGCCAAACGGTGCAACAAAGGCTCAGTGTTTATTAAATACAGATGCAAAGTCTACAGGAAGTACATATAGGACACTTTATCTTAGGTTTAGCATGATTTCTTCGCTAATACTCCATAATAACATCAGTCAGCAACAGTTTATTGGTTGAACGCCACAGCATTTTAGTCAGAAGCCACGATAACCTAAGTATAGCCACTGCAGCTGATAGTTAAAAAGTAAATCTTTCACCCACAAAGTGACTTTTCATTGTGGTTATCATTTAATCGTTGACAGGTTATTTCAATTGATCATTAGTGACTGGCTTCTCTTCCTTCTTGCATTTAATCCCGAAGAAACTGAAAAGTTTCATTAGCATTAGATCAACAATCTCCTCTTCTTCTGAAGCCTAAAATAACAACAAGAAGTAAGTTACTCAGATGCACGGACCAGAAGCAGACACGGTCTCTGCTGAAGCCAGAGAAAGTTGCAAGAGAAAATCTCTACTTGAGGTGAAATCAGCCAATGTTCACTCTAAGCAGAGTATGAGTAACTGCCACAGCAAAACATCACGCCAGTATTTTTATCAAGACAAAAGTCCCAGACAAGCATGGGTGAGCACAGACATTTCAGAATAAGTTTTGGCTCTGTCAGAACCTGTGGAAATCTTGCTACAGGAGCCTGGAGTTCACTTGCCAGCTACCATACAGCTAGTGGTATATATAATGAGCTACCCACCATTTCTAGATGAAGTAAATGGGAAAAACTAAATATATCTTGTTTTCTGTTGACCATATCCTTTGTTTTCTTCTCCCTTGGCTTTACACTGTAGAGGAATTTTGGACAGTACTGCAACACTAAGCTGGATTCCACACCATGCTATCAATAGCTTGAATGGGTCAGGCACTCACAGTGACATGTTTAAAAGGAGCTATAAAGTTCTCTTGGAGTCAGTAGCAGTTTTGGCACTGATTTCAGTGGAGCTGGGGCACAAGTTTAAGACTTTTTTGCTGGATTTAGTATGTGAACAGAAGGCTACAAATCAGATCTTGTACTAAACCTGAACAGGGACTCATCTGAACAGGAATGGACAGCGTAAATCTGGAGAATCTGAAGTGTGCTTTATGACTAAATGTTGGCTTCTTAAGAGTTGGACTGAGTTTACATGGGTTTCATCCGATGGTAGAATACCTAAATCATGAGTAAGCACTGCACAATAGATGTTAAAAACGGCAGGAGAGCTTCATACGCACCTGGTAGTGCTTCTGCTCCTCACTAAAAGCAACCAGAATCACCGAAATGAACAGATTTAGTACCACAAATGTCATGAAAATTATGCAGGATCCAATTAAGAATGAGCCTAAAATTGGATTGTATTCCAAGACCTGTAGTATTAATAAGGTAAGACATCATATTTTGATTGTAAAAAAAAAAAACAAACAACAACAAAAAACCAAACAACATATATACAAACAGTTAAGACACAATAAGGAGTTTGTCTCTGAAAATCCCTGTGGCTAATAAATTATGCTATATGTATTATACATATTTTTTTTCTTTTCCTTTAGTCACTTTCCTATGTTGATATGACATAGTACAAAGATGATAGAATATTTTATATATAGGATATATGAATATGGGCAATCTTCGGGGTTTTTTAAGTGTTTGCATTTGATTGTAAGGGTATGAAAATTTTATGTGAAAGTTGACAAGCCTGGAGATCTGTTTATCCATAGAACAGCTGAAGCTCCATCATGCCTCAGCTTTCAAAGTGTAGATGAAATCTCTCTAAGCTTTTATTTAGTAGTGTTTTTACAAAGAAGCCCAGTCAGACTGTCACAGGCACATATCAACTAAGGGTTGTGTAAAAATCCAAACCCCTCATTTTCATGTAAGCTACAACATAGGAATGCATTTTCATAAGTAGGATGTAGAGGTGAAAAGGTTTATGACTAATTACCAATCTTCAAAGCTACCCGTACCCTGTTGGATCCATGGTCTAAAAACATCCACCAGGGAGGACTTCACTGTCAGAGATGTCTGAGAACTGGCTTAATCCACAGAGTCATTCAAAGGATATTGTAATATTTGAAAGAACTTAATGAAGAAGTCAAGAATAATAAAAACCAATGTAACATAAAGTTCCCTTGTGGAAGGCCTTGCCTTTCTTAAGAAGCTGATGGATGTGTGTTCAGAACAAATGCCAGACATCGCTCACATTTCTGTCTGTAGCTTTCTAAGGAAATTACTCAAAACCTTCAGTAGTCAATAAGTAACACACCTAGTTAAAATGTGAGCACTTTTCTCAATGAAACATTCATTATGAGTCTACTGATGGTCAAAATGGGATGTGAGATATATTTCATTTGATGTCTTTTTCTTGTCTTGATGAGAAAAGGTGGCTGCTTTAGGAGCCTGTGGAGTTTGCAAAATTAGATTAATGTCTAGCACTAATTGAAAGTCTTTTTATTTGCTGGTTCAAAGCATATTTGATAGCTGAGCTGCTAATTACACAGTGATAAACTTCTCAAAACCAGGGGTGGTACCTCCTCATAGTTGAAGATTCCCAGCTGAAGACTGACCATGGTCTCTGCAGAATCGAAGAGAGTTTTGTAAGAGTAGAGGTTCCAGCCAAATATCAAGTTTGTCTGCAGAGGAAAGAAGGCATATCTTGTGTTCATGATCAGAGTACTTGCTGCAAAACCAGCTAATGACTGCTGTATTCAGTCCCTCCTACCTTGTCATCAGAGCCATGAAGATTTTTTTGTGTTTTGGGGTTTTTTTTGTTTATAAACATGGGAAACATCAGACAAGGTCACAGAAGAAGACTAACCTAGGGCTAAGAACTGGATTCACACTTTCTGAATGTGTTTAACTGTAAGACCTTTTATCATAGATGTGAGAATGTCTTATATCTGCTCAGCTTCCCACTAGATATGTAAAAAATCTGCAAATACATGACAAAATCATGAAAGTAATTTAGCCCACCTCCAAGTAGCAGATTTATCCCTGCATAATTGACTAAATTAATCATAGCCACTAACGCTTGCCTTTCAGTGCACAGAGCCTTCACAATTGGCAACCTCTTTCTTTGCCCTCAGTCACCAAGGTGCTATTTTCTTCTTTTATATCTTGTGGGCCTACTGTGTCTGATTTAAATGGGGGCTGCTGCAGTCTGACCTTTTTCTCCATCCCTCTGCCTCTTTCTTTCACAGCTCCATCACTTGCATGATGTGACAACAGGCTGGGTCATGAGGCTGATCTTATCACTTATTTTACCTGTTGTTCACAGCTCCATCACTTGCATGGTGTGACAACAGGCTGGGTCATAAGGCTGATCTTATCACTTATTTTACCTGTTAAGTTTGTGGCCACACAAGTGCCTAAAGATACTCAGTTGCTAGAGTGTCAGTGCTGGAGGGAGAGATGAGGAACATGAAATCAGGCAGTGCGAGACTGCAGAGGTCCCGTTTATCACAGGACTGCCCTTTACAAGACAGTTTGGATTTGGCTCAGATGGTTTCCACTTGTTCAGTGATTTTGCAATTGAGATGTGCTGAATTTCCCACATTACTCTGCCAGAAGATTTACACAAAATGTTTCAGCTAAAACAGTAAATATACATAAATAGTTGCAGTCCAATAATTCTTTAATCTCCTTAGAATGAAAATATCATTTCATTTGCATAATAAGTATTCCTATAATAGGAAGAAAAATAATTATTTCCCACTTAAAAACTAGCCAAACAGAAAATGGCACTTGCTGTACTCTCTCCAATTTGAGCTTTATCCAGAAAATGATTTTTCCTGTATTTTGTTCTTTGTCACACCTGTTGCACACAGAGAATGCGTTTTTTCATCTCAGTGTGTAATTTTTATACTAAATTTTGCAAAGAACAGACGAGTGGATATTTTAACTTCTCTTTCACTTATACTGAAGAATTGGGCTCCAAGCTGCTAACCTTGGTTAACCTGCTAAGATTTAGAAAGGCAGCTTTGTTCGGTTTTATATTTCAAAGCTATGTTGCTTTCAGCATTCAGAAATAATTCATTTAACCTGACAGTACCTGGATGCAGACTGCAGACAACAGAAACCACAGTGGTACTCACAGCAATGGAATAGGCGAGGAACATGATTGCAATAACAGTGATGAATCCAGAGATATCACCCCATGCCCTCCTTAGAGTTGAAGTGATCATGTTTAGTTTAGGGTTGAGCCTCAGGAGATGCCACAGTTTCACTGTGGAGAGAAGCACTAGGAATGCAATCAGGTAGCCAAGAACTGCATCAGCTCTTGCTGTTTCATTAAAGCTTACACAGCTGTTAGAAAAAAAGAAAAGATGTAATAGACCGTGCACACAGAAGCCTTTTAAGTGCATAAATGAGTACGCTGGAAAAGCCAGTCACTCTGTCCTTGTTTTCAATGGAGAGCTAACTTGAGTTCTTGCTTGAATGTTCCCGTCTGTACTTCCTGCTGTGTGCACACAAAAAGCTCAGCTGTACATGGCAGAGGTTTTTTATCAGCATTAGCTAGAGCTGAGAGAGGGTCTAGGCTGTAGCCCAAATGCTGCTTATTTTTAGCAAGTCACAGTTTAAAGGCAGCTAATGCAAACTTACTATCAAGTTCTGACCCTTAGAAAGGAAGACAGGTTCTTCTATGCACGTGTAGTTGAAGAGGATGGGGTTACTGGTGCTGTGCAGCTAGCAGGATGCACTAGCCGTGACAGGATTAGCTAATTTCCAACAAGATGTGTGAGAAGGTACTGTAAGGAATGAAGTAAAAGATTGGAGGTCAGAACTGTGATCTGTGACTGAGGCGAGTCAAGTCTTAATGTTAGCTGAAAAAAACTTGGTAATACTTGTATTTACCATTTATAATTGTTTGTACTTACGATTTTGTTTACAACAGAGGTGACCACAAAAAGCTTTTATAAACTGTGTATGCTAACATAGCACATGACATGTACCTATATGATATATGCATGCTGCATTAGCAAGAATGTAGCTGTCAGGTTAACGGAAGTGTTCTTTCCTCTCATTCAGCACTTGCGTCTGGAATACTGAGTGCAGTTTTGGGCTCCCCAGTGCAAGGAGGACATTGAGTCCGGTGAAGGGCCACTGAGGTGGTTGGGAGTTGGGGTATAAGACATATGAGAGAAGCATGTGGGAACTGGGTTTGTTCAGCCTGGAGGAAAGAAAGCTAAGGAGGCCTCTAATTGCTGTCTCAAACTACCTCGTCGGTGGTTATAGAGAGAATGTAGTAAGACACTTCCTGGAGGTGCACAATGAAAGGACAAGAGACAACAGCCACAAGTTGCAGCAAGAGGAATTCCAGCTGGACATGAAAAAAACTGGTTTTTTTCTCCCACAGTGAGAGTCATTCGGCACTGAAACAGGCGTCCAGGGAGGCTGTGGAACCTCTGTCCTCGGAGATACTCAAAATTCAGCTGAACAAGGCCTGGAGCAACCTGATCTAACACCAAAGCAGGAGGTTGGAGCAGAGACCTCCAGAGGTGCTTTCCTTCCTAAATTATCCATTATTCTATGACCTCTTTCCTGTGTGTCCTTTTTTTAACAGATGTTATCATTTTCCATTCTGTATAAAATAAGCCATTATTATCCTCTAACCAATGGCTTTTTACAACAAAGAATGAGGCAGATTATGTACTATCTGGATGATTGTCCTGTAGCAGAAAGGCTTGTTGATTCAGAAGAGGGTGATGCAGATAGGGAACTAGCAGCTAGGGAACTTGGTGCTCAAATCTGCTGGATTTTATTAGAGCAATATCAGAAGAAAATCCTGCTGTTGACACATATCTAAGCCCTGAAATACTTACATGCCTCATGAATATAGCCAATATAGGGTAGCATTCTCTAGCACAGGCAAGCTGCTGACTGGGAAGAGGAAAAATAGATTTGTTTCTGCATAAGTAGCACTGACAAAGGATGCACTAGCTAGCATTAGTACTTACTCCTCTTTGTGTTCCTGGTAGTAGTTGATGTCTCGGGTCCCAAGGATTGTCCGCTTCACAAACACTGACAGGGCACTCCAGCTAATCAATATAATGGCCATCTCCAGGAGATTCCACTTGCTGTGGAAGTATCTCCATCTCAGACTCTTCATCAGTTTTCCCTGTGAAAAGAGTTTTACTTTTTCAGTCTCATGACTCCATATCATACGATACACCTCTAAAGATTAGGGCCAATCCCTCTGCAATAAAGCAGACTACTGCACCTCGATAAAACTACATCTTGCACTAATTTCTCATTATCTTTCTCAAAAGAACCGTTCCAGACAAATAAAATGTTGCCTTCCTGTTATTTAATACAGATACAGTATCTGATTCAATCTTCCATTGGTGCAAGTCAGCAGCAGCACTACTGAAATCAAGTACAGTCCTAAAGTTTTTGTAAGTGAAATCAAAACCAGACACAAGGTGATGCTGTCAGCCGAGCTTTCCATTGGGTCTCACCTGTACTATCATGTAGTACACAATAAAGAGGAAATAAATTACTTCTGCTGCAACCACAAAGATGTGGAGACTGTTGGTGTATGGGTAAAGCCGGACACTTTGCAGCTCTGCGCTTGTGAAGAAGGCCCCTAAAAAACAAACAATGTTCACCTCAGTGCTCTATTAATTACATCTTTCTGTTTTCATTCAAACAATTCAGTTCACCAGTAAGACTTCCGTACTCGCATTCACATCAATGTGAGACTGAATCCAACTATCAAACTAAGATTTAGACTTGATTATGTGAGTAGCCTTATAAGTGTTCTTTGAAATTTTCCTCAAATAGGAATTGCAGGCAGTCGATGGCTTTTAGAGTGCTAGTGCTCTCTTGTATGACAGTATGATATTAATCCCAGCGGGGCTGAGTTTCGATTGGACTACAAATGCAGAAATGTAGCAGGAGGACCTGGAGATGTAAATCTGAATCTCATTCTAAAAAGAATATGAGCTCAGCTTTGTGGTCTGGCTTGCACATTTTCAAATACTGGGACAGACCTGAGGGAAGCTACTGCTCAGATTAAATGTTTTTCTATGGTCCTCAAACCAGAATCAGGTTTCACTATTTTCTTTTTTGTATCCAGATTATGTATTACATGATTACACGGCTATATATTAGAAGACAGACTCTCTTATTTGTACTTTTTGTCTTAATATTGTATTGATTAGCTGAAATGATTAGGAAACATAATTTTTCATGTTCCTGTTGTATAAATTCTGGAGATTAAGTTTCAGTACCATGTTTTCTTTAAGAGCAGATGACCACAGTATAAGCAAGCATAAGATATTCCATTATGATCTGTATTACTGTGATGCTACATTTTTCCTAAATGGTTTATAAATTTTGCATTGATTCTGTCATTGTTAGATTTATTAAAACACTTCTGTTTACTGAACCAAGAACTAGGTAAACATTGATGGCACGTAAATCTGCACTTTGTAGGTGCATTGCTTGCTGTCTTCAGAAATGTGTAACTTAAAAAAGGCTCTCACCTAAAGCATTGGTTTCAAACATCAGGCTTATAATGCAGAACAGGTTCACATTGGCATTGTAGACTGTAAATTCGACAAACACTGCTCTTGTGAAGGTGTCTAGCCAGACGTTTTTGAAAAGGTACTGGAGAATTCTGCCAAGAAACGTATAGCCAGTGATCTAACTCATGCAGGAGAGAAACAGTATCACATGGAGGACAGGAGTGTTTGGATATTATCACAGAGAAAGAGTAAACCAGATGTAAGATTTCAAGAGGACATCTGGTCTGTCAAGTCTGGGTATAGGGGATATTTGTACTATTAGTCTAGGTGGTAAGTTTCTTTTTGGCTCCTCTGGAGAAGCAGGTACCAGATATTGGCCAGTGCTAAACCTGAGATGCCTCAGGTATCTGATCATTTACCTCATATAGGTTCCTGTACAAATATGGATATCTCTGGCAACATATAAGTTATCTGTAAGTTTGGATCTCCACACCTGTGGGATACTGCTTCCTGCTCATTCATCTCAGGTCCCTTATCTGCCAAATTCTTTTTGAGTCCTGGGTTTCAAGGCCTCATTTTCTATTATTTCACTTTAAAAAGTATCCCCTATTACTATTCATATTCACACCCAGGAGATTGCTTTCAGTACAGTTTCCCTAATTCTCCTCTTCTAAGGTAGATACAAAATTGTCTGCAAGGATCTAGGGAGTATAAGCACTAAAGAGAGGTAAAGAAGCTTCACAGATCTTACTATGATATGAAAACAGGCAAACATATCATAGTTCAAGCATAGTAACAAGATAACGTAAGATTAACATAACAAGATTTAGGCTAAATTATTTTTTCACAACCATTGACATCCCCTTAGAAAATTCAGTATTTTAGATGTTAAAGGCTAGACTAGATCCAACACTGGATTAATATGTTGACAGGATTGTTTTACTGGTTTTTCAACATTATGTGTTTCTGCAGCTATGTAAATCTGGAATCTATGCATGTAAGTTAGGAGAAAAAGATTCTAATTTTGGATCCTGGTTGTTACCTAGCATGGAGCAAGATGATAGGAACATAAACTACAATGATGGCACCACACTAATATCTACAATATCCAGCACAATGCACAGCAGGAAAACTCAGGATGCAATCTGAAATGAGTCTTAAATAGGGTAGAGGAAAAAGCATCGTTGACACTACAGCAGATACACTAATAATTTACAAGAATACAAGTGGTACCTGGAGGCAGTCTTAGGATCAGTTCCCAGGTGAATCACATATCCCCCTCCCCTGTAGATGGCAAGTTTGCCCCAGATGGGGTGCCCTCTCAGTTTGGACTGACTCTGATACTGCCATGCTGAGCTCAAGTCAGAGGAGTTATCGATGACCGAAGTATTCCAGTGTTCTCCATAATCTGATGTATCTTCTGTTTGTAGGGAATATGGAGCATGGCATGGAGTTTGGGAGAAATAGGGCAGGTGTCTCCTTTCACTCTTACTTGGCGAATTCGAGCACTACCCACCAGCTTGGAATTGCCATCTGTAATGAATCCTAAACGGGAGATGGAAAAGAGCAGCACTGGCAATATGACAGAACTTTCTTAATCTCATTTATGATTCACTGATGCATTCATATTTTGCTATAGATTCTTCTCTAAAAAATACTGTAAGCAGAATAGTTATGGAAATTAAACCCTTGCGTTGATTTGAACTGAGTTCTTAGGTAACATCCATAGATAACAGAGTTCAGTATCACTACCTATCTGTATTTTATAGAGAAGGAAACTGAGGCCTGGAGGAGAAAAGTGACTTGCTTCGAGTCACACAGCAGAGTAGCTGTATGCAGTGTTCACTTGGCCACAGTTGGTCAGTGCCTTTCATGTCCAATGAACAACTTTGCTAATGTATTTCAATATTTACTCTTAAATGTGACTGGAAAATGGGTCTTATTTATTACTGGATATGGCTAGATAGAAACATGGTGATAGTGCCTAATTAGCCTTCACATTGACCTAAGTCATGATGCAAACAGAGCTCTCCTGAGGAAAAGCTTTATAGTGCCACCTATCTGCCATTCTTTTCTTGAACTATGGAAAGAAACTTGTGTAAAACTGAGGCATATATCTGAATATCTGGAATAAGTAATGTAAAATGTGAAAAATGTAAAATTACAGTGCAGAACTTTTGGTTTATATTAAAAATAAGGAAAATATCAGGGCACATTAAACTTGGGGTCAGGCTGTGGGGTTTTTCTTATCCACTAGTATTCGTATTATGAGAATCCACACCAGTCTTATGCACTCACAGTCTCTCTCTCCAGTCAAATATGTGTGTGCAAGTTAGGGAGATGTATAAAAGATAATGTTTCAGAATCTGGCAAGCTGAAGTGAAACAATGTGACTCTGCACCTTTATATGATCCATAAAGATTTTTGACTAAGGTAGTGTTTGCCCACGTGAAAAAATCCTGGTAACTGTAGACATCGTGGAATCCATCTGTAAAGCTGTTCTCAATGTGTTTGTTTAAGTAGTAGGAATTGGGATCTCTCTGCCCATAGGCAACCAGTAACAGCATCCATAAAAACCCCAGATAGGCTGGAAAAAACAAGAAGAGACAGCACATGCGAGCTCAGAATTAACACTGCTGTTCAAAATAGATTGCATGAATGATTACTGCTGTCATCACTGATTAAGTTAAGGAGATGCTTTGCTAGACTCTGACTGACCAGTGCTAACGAATTTACACAAGCTACTTCAATGTGCTGCAGTTTAAGCGTATCACCTTTGGAATACGAGTAGATGTCGAGAAAATAAGTGGGAAGGCTGGCTGAACACCAATAGTAATGACAGCTCTAAATAAAATGAGTAGTTTAACTTTATTCCAAGTGAAGTTGAGGTAATTTTTTCCATTGCTTTTGGAGGAAATAAAACTGGGGTATAAATCACTATCTATAGATACTATCTGCTTTTAGAAAGATGGCCTCCAAAGATGGCCTCTGTCTGCTTCTTTGATTTCAACTTCATTTAACTGTTGACCTCCTCCTTTTACCCTTTCTAAGTTTTCTATGTGTCTGTAATGTATTTCTTTACCATAAAATCAAGCCTCTAGCTACACTTTTATCTCCAGCTAACATTCCCACTTCTTTTCAGCTCCAACTGCCACTGAACAGCCTGTCTCTACACCGTAATGGCTGGCAGAAAGTTAAAGATATGCCCGAACTTTTTCACCCAAGAGAACAATATTTTCACTGATGTAAAAATACTGATGAATACTACTGAATAAAACAAGATAATCTACATATGGATAATACCCAGGATTTCTCTGATGAGGGCAAATGCTTTCTGCTCCTTCATGCAGCTGATTTTCATTTTCTCCACATCAACTGCAGGAGGTGGCCGGTAAATATTGCTTCTACTGTCCCTTCGGGCTCCAAAGAGAGGATTTGAATCACCTGTGAGTGAGAGCAGTAAACCCTGGAATTAGTCAACAGATAGTCTATGTCCTGCTTTTTGTTACTTTGGACATTATAAGGAAACATTTCTATTTAATGCTTTTGCTTAGGAAGACAGGGGATGTGACATTAACAATCATTATAGTAAGGTAACAGTGGAAAGGAAAGGAGCTCACAAACACAGTGTGTTAGGTTTAGGCCCAGGTATAGTCCAGGTGTCTCTCTCTAGGCTGAGCATCTCCGAAGGTGATGTATTCAGAGCCTGAGACTGATCAGGGAGGAAGCTGTTGTTCAGGATGAATCCTGTGCCCTAGGATTCCTGTCTGTTGCTATCAGCTTTTTTTAGACATGATTGTGATTGTGATTGCAGAAGCCACTGTTTGGTTTATGGGTGTAATACAGATAATTGTGGTTGTGGAAAACTACGTATACTGAGGACTTTCATATCATAAGACTTAAAGGAGATGGGAAATTTCCTTGAGAGAGAACTTGAGTTTTAGATACTCTTGTCAGATAAAGATCTACCAATCTAGATGAAGAGTGTATTTTGCACTGGGTCATGTGTTTATTTTCATTAGGTTGTGGAATAGTTACAGGTTTTTTCTGCAAGCCATGCAATGAATACTGAGATGTCTGCACAGAGCTAAAACAAACCTCCTTGTATATCTGATTTTTCTTATGTCTGGCGTGAGAGCTAAAATATTTAAGCATGCTTACTGCACGCTAATAGCACTGATTCATTAATTTTTAATATAATGGCTTCAGTCAGTTTGCCACATTTTTTAATTTTCTTTTCTAGATGTTCCTTGAATGTTGACAAACTGAAAAGTGATCAGCTATCTACTTGTACAATTCTTGATCTAGTATGAATCAATATAGGAGAATACTTCTTTTTTCCTGAGAAAGGTAAGCCAAGGATGGAGGGAAGGAAGGAGTCAAATATCAGTATCCTGGCAGCAAGTAGATCCTCCAATAACAGGGGCAATCTTACAACAGACTAGGAGAGATTGTGCATGTGCATATATTTGCAGAGGTAAAAATATATGGAAAAAAGATGAACAAAGAAGTATTATTCTTTTGATCCAGAACTACTTCTCTTTTATCTTTTTGATCATGTGGTCTCTTTCATTAAGTGTTCTGCAAGTTTTATCCAACCTGAACATACACTGGTCTTTATATTTTCTCCAACTGGCACAAAATCAGTTATTTAGCTTTGTTTCCACTTCCACCTTGATCTTGGGAGTGCTAATGGGTAGGCACATAGTCACAGCACCTGTGGATTTAATGATTGCTGCTAACCTTGTCAGCTAAGATTCAGGTATATAAAGATAACTAGTGAAGTTCTCAGTTTTCAGAGCTGAGTCACATATTTGTGCATAAAGCACTCCAAAAGCTTGGAGAACACTTCACTTTCTCTAATAATTTCTCACTTTACAGTTACCTGGTGCAGATAAAGGCCCAACAATAGCTGTGTTTTCTTCATCCTCATGTTCCACCTTCTTCAGAACCAGAGCAAAAAAAGCAGCAAATCCCAGCACCTGGAAAGAATTAGCTATAGACTCACTATATGCCCACTTCATATAAAGAAGCTCAGGCTTTGACCTGGATCCCTTTGGATTCAGGCTGTGCAGGAGATCAACTGTGCTTTGGCTTTGTCGAACTCATGCAACTGAAGCTCATAAACAAGAGAACAGTGCACAGTGCTGGGGTCCATCCAGCTAAATTGATTTTGCCATATGACACATCTTCCCTGGTCAGAAATCCCATCACCTATTAAACTCTGATAAAACAAGGGAGATGAAACTAATGGAGTTAATGTCAACAAAAGGCAACAGAACTCTGTAAACCACCTTCTAGCTCTTGTTTTAAGGGCAAAGACTTCTCGTTTTACATGTTAAATCCTGTGGTTCTTTAGAACACATTACGTTGTCTTCCTGAAATGATAGTAGAATGAATTCATATTGGCCAGTGGTTGTATTTCTGAGGATCTCACCTTTAAGGGCTGTGTGATGAAAAGACTTTCCAAGAAGGAGATGGCCATGGAGATCAGCCACTTGATGGAGTTCTCCTTGCCGTAATGCAGCCCATAGAGCATGGTAAAGAACCCAGAGACACCACTGGTGGCTGCAACAAGGAACCAAGCAATGAATACAAACCACCAGGGCAGCCCTTTGGAAGAAGAACTTTTCTTGCCATCACTGGAGAAGCTTGGAGTAAGGGACCACCTTGAGAGTCAACCAGAAAAGAAAAAATCAGTCTGCAGTAGAACAGAAGCCAAAATCACAGTCTTTGGGTTCAGTGGGGACAGGCAACATCTTACGATTTAAAATCTCAATCCAAATATTCTAAATTCTTTTAACTAATGCAGTTATATAGGATATATGGATAGCAAAAAGTAGAATGAGCAAAAATATGAGGAAGTGTGAAGAGATCAGCTAAAATCAAAACAAATATGATGGGCTTATTTACTCCTCAGTTCATCCATAATTGAGCCTCCAGTAGAAATATTGACAAAACCATGAGTGCATTTTAGCTGCTAGATACATCTCTTGTGATCACCATAAAGGCCAGAGAGATAATTAGTGGTATTGTTTTCAATACTTCCAACTTAATTATCATATTTTACTGAAATATTTTTGTTGCTTATTAATTTTTCTTTATCCATACATTTTAAGAAATGTCTGAGACTTCGGAGCTCAGGGATTATCTCAGCCGTTTACTATCATGTTGCATTGCATTGTAACATTCAGTTTTGGAAACAAAATTGACAAAAAGCGATGATCTGTCATTATTGCTTTTGCGTGCAGTTCTCAGTGCATTGAAATTTCTTTGTTGCTCCTACAATAGTATAATAGTAGAACATGTTTCTACAGCTATAATAATGGTTATCTAGCACATATTAAGCAGCAATTATTTGGGCTCCGTCATCCTGACCAGTTTTGATCTCACAACATGAATTTACTTATACTGAGAACGAGATGAGAACTAGGTTACCTCTCACTGATGGACGTTGATGAGCAAATCTGGTTCTCCAGGAGGTTCTTCATGTGCTGAACCTGACGAACAGCTTGTGTGTAACTCTGAGGCATCTGAAATTTATGGGGCCCCAGTAATTCCAGCTCCATCTCTACATGCTGGAGTTGAATGTACAAGCAGCGATTGTAATCACTGTATTTCAGTTGCTCACACATTCCCTTCTCTGGAGTTGGGCTTCTTGTTTTTTCTGCAGGTAAAGAATTATTTAATTTTTTTTAAAGAAAATCAGCTTAGCTATCCCTAGATTAAAATACTGTTCAGTACAAAGGTTAGCAGAACTGGAGTTCAAGTTTATGAATGTGACAAAGTGAAGAGTAATATTGGAAGGGACATGTAAAAGCAACTTTAGTACTAGAGCTTTAATGCTTTTCTGCTGGAATGGGCTGGAATTGTTGCCAGGAGGCAACTTAGTGAGACAGAGATCCTAAAACCTTAATAGGGAAGTCAGATAAGATCAAGTGCTAATTTGTTCATAGTTTACCTGTGCAATTAGTAGCTTGTTACACTCATTGGAAAAGCTAAATGCAAGTCTTAATGAAATCAGTGGGATTGTTTACTCATATATTATTGTTTAATTGAAAATAAATGAATGCCTAAGTTAAGAGTCAGACAGAAAGGAACAACAGCACAAGGCTAAGAAGGAAAAAAGGACAGGACAAAAAGACTGTGAAACAACTGATATTTCTGAATCTTTATGCTGTTAGACACTGATCTTGCTCCCAAGCCAGGCTGGTAGCTAACATTTAATTCTACAGCATAAGAAATAGAAATTTCACAGTGTCTTTACTCAGTTGGGCGCTCAGTGGTGCACAGTGAAAGGACGAGAGGTGATGGGCACAAATTAAAACATGGGAAATTCTGTCTGAACAGAAAGAAAAACTTCTGTATTGTGGGGGAGGTTGGACACTGGAACAGGTTGCTCAGAGAATTTGTGGAGTCTCCGTCGTTGGAGATATTCAGCATCCGACTGGACGTGATCCTGGGTAACCTGCTCCAGCGGACCCTGCTCTGAGCAGGGTGGTGGATTAGACAACCTCCAGAGATCCCTTCCAACCTCAACTATTCTGTGATTCTGTAATTGCCTTTGAGTCAGAATGTAAGAAGAGCTTGGGTCATCACATCCAGCGTTACCATCATTTTCACTACAAAGGTTATAGCAGGCGTGTCACATTGTGTTGTTTACCTTGTATATCCATAGCACCTAATGTGACAATTATAGGGTCATCCTTCTTTTTGCTCTCATCATAAAACTCTTGCCCAGCTCTGTTCTGCTGGCAGATGATGTCCTCAACCAATGCCAAAAGTGTGTTGATGTTAGTTGATTTTCCAAGATCTGATACTGAAGAGAGAGATGGAGTCTTCAGGGCTTTAAAGAGGGAGTTGGCAATTCTTCTTATATCCTAGAAAAGACAGCAGCAACACAGCGGTGACTCTGGCTGCAGTGATGTGATCTGAAGGCACCACTGGCTGGGAGCTGCACCAATTGCCAAAATCTCCAGAATGGATAAGGATACATCTGCTGGATGTGACAGGCAGATTTCAATGAGTTCCGCAAGACAGCTTTCAGGATTCAGAAATACAGCTTACCTGCCCGAGAACCTAAGCTGAGAAAGTCGGGGTCTATGATACCTTTTATCTTCACTGTCTTGCTTAATGTTTGCTTTAACCCCTGAACACAGTGATTTTGGTCGCACATAATAGTTGTGCAAGGGCTGGGATGTACGTAGGCAGATCTTAATGAAGTCGGGGATTCCGTGTAGATGGGTAAATGGGTGCTTTGCACCAGTGTGTAATTGGCTTTTCACTTCAGGCAAGCTGAAGGGCATGTGACAGGGAAGATTTCTGCTGTTAAACTGGGGAGGTCGGGTAGTGCATGGCAGCAGAGGGCAGTGCAGGACTCACTGGGGAGCAGCCACAGCGACTTGCCTTTATCACGGCCTCTGGAGTGAGTGAGACAGCCTGGGTGACCTGTGGGGTGGGAGGTAGGCTTGGGGACACTCGACCATTCTTTCCCGGCTGCTTCTCTCTCCCCTGCATGGCTGGCCGGGATCGTATGTTCCTGAAGATCTGCACAATGAGCAGGTTGATGGGGAACATGAGGAGGGAGCTCTCAAAGCCAATCATCACTTCCTGCCATGTGAACTCGATCTTACCTGTCAAGATCAAACAGAGGGGAGGAGTAAAAATAACCCCAGGAACCATCAGATCTCTCTCTTGTGAAAAAGCCCATTTGTTCAACTGTCCTGCTTCTAGATTCTGCGGTCTCTCTATTTCCCTGCCCAAGCAATGGTGAGGATTGTTACCCAAATCCATTTTCTGCTCAGCTGGATCCTTTGGCACTCCCCAGAATATGATGCTGGTCAGCATGGTGCAGAGAAGCAGTGAGAAGCAACATGACACGCGCTGGGCTCGTGTGAAGGAGCTTCGTGGGGAGCGGCTGAAAACCGAGTACCAAATGTGCCCATCCTGGAAGCCTTTGGAGGTCTTCATGAAAAACAGATTGCTGGGAAGGAGGAGAGGGAAATCAAATGGATACTTAAAAAGGAGAGGGAAGAATAAAGCTGTAGTTCAGGATCCAGGGCCATTCATGCTTCTAGGCACTATCAGAAGAAATAACAACTATGAGAAATTACCAAATATCATGGCTTAATTTGCATGGAATGGTCATAGCTACTTATGTCCTTTCCTTCTGGCCAGACCATGGAGGGAAAGCTAATCATGAGCAGTTTCGGTATAAATTGTTAGGGAAATTACACATAAGAGAAGGTACTTGAGTTTCTGTAAGTCTTGTCAGGCTATCCTTCTTTAACACCAATATTTCCAATGTGATTTTACTGTTAGGGTAACGATTAGACTTACTTAACCATCCTTCTTCTTTTCCTTGTTCAGAGCCCTTTGAGGGCAATGGAGAGACCTCCCTTGTTTTCATTTTTGTCTAGGGGTTTGATCTTGTTTGCATACTTGCTTTTCTAGACTGATTGCTATCAAGAGTAAAAAAGTCCATAAAGTAGGAGATACCTGAACTGCTTCATGTCCTGTTCTGTAGCTACTGGGAACACTTTATCTAGGACACATTCTCCAATATCAACGGCTAGCCAATAGTTACAGAGGAAGTACCATTTCTGATCCCATGCCAGATCATGGACCAATACTCGATTCACATACCTGTTGGAAAAACATACAGGGCACATTCACATGTAACTGAGTGGTATGAAATTCAGGACTCAACAGGACTATGGAGGACAAACTCTGGCCTTCAGCTTCTTAGGTTGTGTCTAAACTGTAAGGCACAGAACACATCCCATCCTGTACTGGACACAGGATATGGGAAGCACTCCTGGTCCTGCAGTTTAGATTATTATTTGATTTATTCATCTGCAAAAATGAGAAACTAACACTTCTTTCCTTTCTAGAACTGTAGAAAAGATAATTTTCAAGTGCTAGAAAAGGAAAACTGTTATCATTATAAAAAAATATTTGTGGATCTTTACTTCCCAGGATCTCCAGATCTCCACTTACCAGGATGGACTGTCCCCTGAATTATCATGCCACAATCTAATACTCTGCAGTTCCCCAAGAGGGAAGAAGGTACAGAGTAGGAAAACATCCACTCCTCCACGTTCAAAGACTGGTGTATCAGGATCAGTTAGATGGTGTGGCTCACTCTCTCCTTCCAGTCCATAGAGGGTGAGAGTCACCTGGAGAGTAAGATGGCAAAATGAAGACTTGCACATCTTGATCCTATGTATGATTATTCCTCTGGCATACACTTCCTGCTTTCATCGAATCTAAGGGCTTTCTGGCTTAGACGTTGCATTTAAGCTGTCCCGTTTAATAGCCTCAGGTGCTCCATTATTCATCCAGTTCTCTAAATGAGTGCATAAACTGTCTTACCGCACAGTGCCATTGATACCTTGGAGGTTGTGGCTGCCCCGCGGCGGTGTCCTGTAAAAACTGTCACAAGATAACGATACTGAGCAAAGGGGTCATTGTCTTCCAGTACTGTGATTTTCACCTGCAGAGTGACACAATACAAGCAGTGTGTTAGCTGTTCTGTAAGTATGGATTCCTTAAAGCTGTGGATAGGAATTTGTCATCTTGTGAACAATGCATATACTTACCAGTAAAAAGAGAGTTACATGGAAGGGAGTAGCATTGGTTGAAGACTTTCTGTCAAAACAGGCTAGGCAAAGTGGGAATTGGCCTAAATACATTCAGTCTTTATTAGCTGAAGACTTACTTTGGCATCATCCTGGATGTCTTTCCTTCGAGCCCAAATAACTACAAGCACATATATCAGAAAGATGCATCCTACAGTTGTCACCACCACAGGGTTGTCCACAAAGGTACCAAATAGCTGTGCAGTTTTGCTAACATCTATGGCATTGGGTACGATGAAAAAGGAGCTCCCAAAGAAGGTCAGATGGTTGCAGAAGCACTGTGTGCTTCTAGGATTTGTTTTTGGTCCTACCTGAAAACCAGAAAAATTTCCTAATAAAACATTTGGCTTCAAAGTATTAGGTAACTTACCAAGCAAATGAAAAGACAGTGCTGAAATTGGTAAGTTAGTGTGGAGAGCTGCTATACAGAAAAGAATTATTCGAATTCCAATAAGGAATATTAGTTCTAATGTCTAGCCAGAAACAGGCATTATAATATAATACAGCCTTGTCAGAATTCTTCCGTTCTTCTTATATAGAAGCTCATCCCAAGAAATTGAAATGGAAATGTCATTTGAAGCTTAGTTCAGTATGACTAAACTTGACTTTATTAAAACATCTCAGAATGATCTTTTATGGTGTAAGTTCAATGCTATCATTTTACTACAAGATGGTGGTTATAAGGGCTGGCTTTGAAATATATAATATAAACATTGTTTTGATTCTCTCTACTTACATGACATCCATAGCTGTTCCAGTTCCCCTGGTGCTCATCCCAAAATACACAGCGGGATGCGAAGCAAGTGACAGCTATACTTAGCCTGTCATAGACTGTGGAATCCATTCCCATATCTTGTAAAACCATGAAATAGTAGGTTCCCTCTCCAAAAATGAGTTCTTCTGGGCTAAGAACCCAGGTGTTTGTCTCACCTTGAACATAAATATTTTAGTTTCAATGTATATATAGAAATGCTATTTCAGAAGTATGTAGCTGTATTGCATATAATCAAATAAACAAACTGAAGAAACAGGTATGAAATCGTTCTTAGCAACTCATTGTTCAAAGCATCCCACTCTTTGCTCCTGTTAGTGAATGCTGTATACTAGAGATTGGAACCCTGAAGCATGACAAATTGAAACTCATTTGAGAGGTTTCCTTCCAGTTAGACGTCTGAACTCATGGTCAAAGCTCATTCTGCAAATATGAATGTGCTGTAAAATTGTGGATGAGCACTCCCTGTACTGACTACCCTTAACTCGCTATGGGTGGTGAAAGTCTTTTGGTTACTTAAGCCCAGAATGCACAAGTTCATGCGTCACTAGCAAGTTGTCTTACCTCTAGTAGTTTTCTTACAGAACAGATGATTTTTCATATCATAGTTAGTTTCATTTGGATGATAACCGTACCCTAAGTAGAGTATTAGTGGAATGTCATGTTCAGATTCCAGGTGGATCACTATAGATGTGTTTTCTGAGGTGACATTGACTTGGAAAGCGCTAAAATTGCCCAGATTCAACAGAATCTTATCTTCCTGAGTTGCTGAAAGCCTTGGTAACATTACCTGTTTTTAAACAGAAAGACATAGCTTTAAATACAGCAAAGCATCTTGCTTCTATTATCTATAAGCACAATATAGCCACATGCTAGATGATCTTTTCACATAACATAGGGAAAGCATGGCCAGCAAAAATATTGGCTTCAAAGTAATTTTCTTGGTACTGTCAGCTAACCTCTGAAAAGTTCACTTGAAACATACGTAAACTCATCACCAAGTCTGTGATCCTTGGTGCATTTTGAACGAAGAGCTGAGATTATAACTGAAACACTGGCTACATGAAATGCATATATGCACAATTTAGATGTCAACTTATACATGGGCTAGGAAGCCCGAACAGTAGTGATAAGAACATACAGTTGTTGGATGATGAAATCGGATGTTACATTGTGTTTTGGGATGACTGTAATCTTTTTTCCACAACCATTAGCATGCTCGCATCCATTTAAATGAAGAGTAAAATACCTCTTTTTTAAGAAAAAACAGAAATATTTGTTATTTCATTCTTCACATGACACAAATCCCTCCATCACAAATGCAGACACCATGATCCCTTTATATAATGTAATGAACACTACCAGCATTTGCAGTCACCTCAGAAGATGATAACACAAATGATAGTTTGTTAACAGAGAAAGAAAAAATGTGGAAAGAGGGAGAGGGATAGAAAATAATGGGTTTACCTCAATGTTTTCTTTGAGATTGCTGACTGGTATGATCAAGCCATCCAGGCCAGTAAGACTTAGACCTCCCACTGTTCCACTGATGTCAAAACTGGTGTCACTGGAGAAAAAGGGATTCACGGCAAAGCTCACCATCTATTAGCAAGACATTATCAATCAGTTTTGAGCTATTGTCAATATTTCATTATATTTACACTCTAAATTTCTGAGTAGTGAAAGCTTGAGCTCAGACCCAAACAGTACTTGACTTAAAAGAAGCCTGCATCCAGATTTAAGTAAGAAGCTGCCTTATTTCTAAGGTAGGTCAAACACAAACCTTGAAAGTGATCTTGATTCTGAAATGTGGTATGTGTACAACAATGTTTACTGTTTCCATTCATTGTAACCTTTTTGCCTTTTAGAAACCAGAATCAAAATGCAATTGCATAAGCCTCTTTCAAAGTAACTCCACCAAAGCTAGGCTGTGGCACCCCTCTTGAAATTAGGAACAGAAGTCTATTTCTACTATGATAGCAATGCACAGAAGAGTCGTCAGTCCAATGAGAGGATTCAGGAGCCTCTCCTAACACTCAGGTAAGACAATGGATGTGTTTCCACTGGTTTCAGTGGGCTCTGGACATTTTTTAGCTAAGCTGGAAAAGATACAGTGAAAAACCCTATATATTTTGCAGGTATTGTAGGTGTTTCCTGAGAGTGTCAAATCAACCAAAGAGGCCTTTAGAAAATTTATTATAAAATTATGACAATAACACGCAATTTATTGTTCTGAGGGAAAAAACCTCCATATCCTAATTCAGATGAGGGATGTGTTATCATCAGGACATTCACAGGCCTTTTGTGTCCTGCAGGATCTGGGTGCCTCAAACTTATTTATTTCTAGCTGGGATGAAACAGGACTGCTGCTGATTAGTTTTAATGGTGATATGGATTCTGAGCTGTTGCATCCTCCTCAGAACATTAGATGTAAACAAACATCAAACAGATTTATAGGTAGTGATTAATTCCATTGCCTTCTCTAACCATTCAAGTATGAATCAGGAGTGTATGTGAGGGGCTGGTGGCATGGAGAATTTCCGTCCTCCTTAGCTTGCTGAGCCAACCTCATGCAATTAGGATAAGTGAAGGCTTCTTTGACCAAAATTATTTCAAGTTATTCTCTTGGCATGACAGAAGGGATGACCTGTGTGCATGTGTATTCATTCTAAAAGGAGAAAAGATTCTAAAACAGCTACACCAAGAATGTAAGTTTTATATCAGATTGAGTCAGATAAAAGCTCTTTACTTGCCCTTATATCCACTGTTTCATCATCAACTCCTGAAACACTGAGAGAGGAAGCAGGTGGGAGAGTAAAGCTGGCAGAGCTGGAATTGGAGATATTAATGGATGTGCCATCCATGTTTTCTGTTTGTAATCTGTCCAGTTAGGGTTGGACACAAGCAAAACAGAATAAAAGAGAAATAAAAAAAAAACCAAAACAAACAAACAAACCCCCACAACAACAGAAAAAAACATCAATAGCACGGTCTTCATATCTAGAGAAAAAGCTTTCTCACTTCACAAGTATAACTTTGCTGGAAAACTATTTCTAACTCTGCCAGTAAATACTTCGTACATTATTTGTCCCTGAAGTAGTACTCCACATAACACTACCATAGAATCATCAAATGAGGGACGGAATTGGTGTATCTGGATAGGAAATTGTACCCAACTAGGTGTACTTATGTGAAAGACGTATATGGTTTCTGTGTGAACATGCTCTTGACTTGACAGTTAAGTGTGGGTGAAAACCAGGCTCTTGGGGAACAATTTAGGGATGATTATAGGGAATAGAGAATGCTTGTCAGGCTCCTCATGATTATATTTGCTTCTGCCAAGCTGGTTACAATTCTATATAAGATGTCATTATTGGCAACTTGGAAAAGGAAAAAACCCTTAGCTGGCATAACACAAGTTTTCCACATAATTTCAAAGGTAAGCAGCTACTGCCTCATCCAGGAAATAGTAGTAAATTCTCCGTTGGTCAAAGAAGACACAGCATGAGAATTTCTAAGGTGGCTTTATTGAAGCTAGCTGGAGTCCAACCTGTTCTTACTATCAGTTACTAATGACAGCCTCACTGCACTGTTGAAGTTGACGTTATGCTACAATATTTAGTTGGGTGGTTCCACTTTAGGACAATGTAATGAATAATGAATTTGGGGCAAATTTGATTAACTCTCAGGTGCGTAGGTGGGACACACTGTTACTGTTACCTGTGTATATACATTGTGGCAGAAGGAGTGGTAAGGACTGTTGGTTCATCATCCGGTTCTTTCCCAAACAGAAGGGCACTCTGTAGATTTTCAACTGTATTCAGGAGCTGGTGCGACATTGAACTCTGGGAAAGGATTGGAGGAGGAAACTTGCAACAAAGCTCCTCATAATCATCAAGATACACACATTATTTGCCTTTACTTCCTTTTAGGAACAATACTAATTTTCAGTGTCTTACAAAGCTGACAAACTTGGTGATGTGCTTCTTAATCTCAGAGAAAGTTATTCTAATTAGCAATTCAATTTCTGTAATTCTCATTAAAACATTGCAGACAGCAAATACATATATCTTGCAGCTTTTACTTTTGTATTCTATTATTTATAACTTCTACACATTGAAATTTGAAGCACTACAAACATGACATCAATTTAATGCAATATATTCCTGTACTTCTGTACATTAATGCCCTTTAGCTGCACACTTTAGTGTTCAGTTATGTGCAAAAGCAAGACCTAATTACCTATTAATTGTGTGTTATTAGTGTGTTAACCTGGGGAAGTTCGAACAGTTCATAACCTTTTCTCTCAGGTTAGATTTATTTCATGCCCTACTCCCTTGCACTGATGAAAGTCAAAGTATGTTCAGCCCAGGAAGCACACAAAGGCAACTGTGACAATTCACATATAGATAGGAAAGAATAGGACAAAATAAACACGTTGCATAATTCTGAACAGAAAATCAGAGTGGGCTTTCTGAAAAAGTGTAAGCTGCAACCAGAGCTGATTCCAGCTTTGAAGTAGTGGAGCCAATCATGAATATTGAATACCTGTGGCTTCCTTGAATTATGGGGCAAAAGGAGGGGATAGAATCAAATCTGAAAAAAAACTCTGTGTGCTTGTCATCCATTAGAGATTGTACACTGATGCTGTGTTCTCCAGTGCTCTATCCTGTTCAGCTTTAAATGTAACAAATCTTAAGGCTTCTATCATCGTCATTAGCAGCCTGTTCAGTCTAACATGTCTAAGTGGGGAGAAGTTTCCTTTGATATTCAAGTCCATCATGGTGTCACAATGAACCCTACCCAATGCCAATTTAAAAATGTGAGAGGCGGCAGAACTCTTAAAAACCTTCCAAAGCAAGCAGATGTTCACACACAGTCCACTACAAACTGGACCAAACCAAAATTACCTGTTCTGCCTCTGGCACTGAAGCGTTCGTAGCTCTGATTTCTACAGAAGCTTTAAGGACATTACTCACTGCACTAAATAGATAGTTGGCTGCATCTTTTAACTTCTGATCATCTCTGCTGTCCTCTGTGTTTACAGTGAGCAAGGAAGCACTGACATCTTTTAGAGTGTTGCTAGCTTCCACCTGCATGGGAAACAAGGGGAAAAGTTTATATGTGTTGGTACTACAAATGACAGAAGTGACACTTGTCATTTACTGAATATTGCAACATAAGTAATCTCATGCGACTATTTGTGGCTAACGCTGTTTCTACTATAATTATTTGTGCTGGGGTAATACCTCAAATGCCAATAAAAATGATATACTAGATGGTATACTAACATATAATACAGACCTGAAAAATGCAGCCTGCTTCTGCAGATTTAATCCATAAAAAAGATGATTAACATCTGAAGGAAGCTTGTCTGTCAAACACTGGGCAAGGATACAGTTTAGATATACAGTAATGTAGTAAATTAGGTTATACTTTGGGTGGTGTGTCCAAAAAACACCATCGTATTGTCAAGTGCGTGTGCATTTCAACCTTAGTTTCCACAAACCCTATTGGATTACCAGCAAGTAATACCTTTGGCTTTGTGCTGTGCTAAGTGCCAAAGGAGAATGAGTTTTACAATTTTTATTTTGTGCCTGAATGCAACTGGTGATTGCTTTGTGATTGTGAAAGCACTGGCCAGCTTTTAGCCCAGGATGGTGAGGGAGCCAAGCAAATTCATTGCAAGCTTGGACATATCCATTCCCATAGTCTGCAAACATTTAGCAGCCTTACTGTAGAGTGAGTGCTGAATCTGAGCTATGTTCTTGCCTTGCCAAAGTTAACCACATACTGCTGAAATGCTCCCAAGCCATTGTCTGGCTGCAGCTGTGTAATACATCAGAAATCAGGACAGCTCTTTTTATTGCCAGTGTATTTGGGAAACTTCCCCAGTGACAGTTTGTTCTGTCCTCCCATGTGCTCACTCCTTATGCATAAATAGCATCATCTGCTAATAATGTCATGTTGCCAGAAAAGATTCAAGAAATACTTTTGTGACGCCAATCTGAACATTTGTGCCCAGTTCCTCTGGGTGCTGTCATGTTCCTGCCTCACTGACGGCTTGCCTATGTGCATTTTGTGACAGCGCATGGATCAGGGACCAATGGATCTAGGCAATTCTGGAAACTGGCCCCCCCCACTCCCCCCGGGGCAGTTTTTCTTCAGGATTCTAAGAGTGCTTTACAAGATAAAATATATATCCTAACATGCCTCTGACTAAAAGTTAAACTTTCCATCTTAAAGATGTATCATAAAATGTAACTGGTCATGGCCTGGATGGTAGTGGTTGCTGAGACAATGTCTGTGAGTCCAAATTCGCTTACTCTAAAGAGCAAAATATATTCACTTCTGGTCAAAATACACATGCTGGTACAGTTAAAAAAATGGATAAAGAACAGATAACTGTAAAGCACCAAAACTCTTCCAAGGTCAGTGGGGTGCAATAGAGTCTATACTGTTAGTGTGAGGGGATATAAGATGAATTGCTTCTTACCTGTGCTGAGACAGACAGCTCGTCACTCCTGTAAGTGATTTCTTTCAATACTTCTGACATCTTAAGAGCAGTCTGCACTGACGTTACGTTAACAGCAGAAAGAGTTGTCAGCATCAGCCCTCGGAGCTTGGGATGAAAAGGGATAATTAGGCAAAGGAATAAGATGCTAATTAGGACTGTGCAAGTAGTGCTGTATATTGACAGCCAGGCTTGCTGTAAATTATGTGGTAGAGTAAGACTCCACAACAAGGATCATTTGAACTGATAACTGACAAGATGCCACTTGCCTTAGTAACTGTATAATCATAAGTTTTATGTTACCTCCCAACAAAGAGAATTTATACACTTAACATCCATTAATAGCAAGGAGAGTTACTTGTGAGAATTTGTACTAATGTATGTGAATTACTGTATAAATGCCACTTCCAGAGAAAGCAGAGCCACATATGATTGATGTCACTCAAATAATGAATCATAATTGAAGGATACATTGCATTTCTCTGGATCTTTTCATCTGAGGCTCTCAAAGCACTGTACAAATATAAGCTTATAACTGAACTATAAGCTGGTGGCTGAAAGGAACAAACTAAAATTACCTGCCATATAGTACTTTTTGGGAAAATTAGGTAGGATATTTCTCCTGCAGGAGAGGCCATTTTATTAATATTTAAATTGTTTGTGGAAAATCAAGTTGATTTTAAGTTTGAAAAGATGGTCCAGATTAGTTTAAGTTAATGCAATAACAATTGAGAATAAATTCTTTTACTGATGGATGATAAAACAAATTATTTACATGGGCAAATAGTGAAAAATAGCTGAAACCTGTGCCAAACACTGAGACAGATACTAGAAACTTGAAACCTCCATTGATTTCAGGTGGTGATATATGAGCTTGTTGTTACTTAAGAACTGTCAAAGAATATGAAGAGTCCATTATATTGCATTGTACTGCAAGAAAACAAGTGTCTGGCTGACCTCTTTTCGTGTGTCCGTCTGTAAAGATACGTTAAAGCTTTCCTCTTGGGTTTCCTGATTAAGGACTGATATCACTGACTTATACAGCTGGAAAAGACTCATGCTGTTGTTCCCAGCTTTTAGGATGGTGTTTGCCTTCTCAGATACAATAGCCTGCAGGGTCAGGTTCCCATCGATCATATCTGTGTGTCCAACCTGATGAAGAAATCAGATACGCTCTTAACGTTGCTAATGCTGTTACAATTATCTTTGAACAGCTTCCACAATCATCTTATTGACAGCCTAGCTAGAGTGGGACAGAAAACTTTGTGTTCCCCGTTTTTAATATTTTATTTTTAGTGGCCTGATAAGGATCTTCTTACTGGGGCACTGGAGCAGAAGCAGGAGTTTTCTGGGGCCTACATAGAGTAACTCCAGACTCACTAAATACAGCTTATGCTGCCCAATGTCCAAATAGATCATCTTTCAAACTTCTATCCTAGGAAAAGGACAGTGGAGGATTCTTTTTACTACCTCGAGTCCATAGAGAATAGTCTCTGTTAGATAGAAAAATGGTGATTATGGCACATTCGGAGGGAAGTAATAAGTATAAAATGGGAAGAAGCTTCAAAAGTAAATCGCAGGTTAGGTATCAACTTGAGAGATCTTGAAATAAAGTAATTCTTCTGTGTACCTTCACCGAAGCATTAGTTTGAACTGTATCACCATAGCTGTTGCTAACGGTAATTTTCATATGTAAAATGAAATTATTTTCCTTTTCTCCAAGTGGAAGATAAACTGGGAAGAGTTCAGGATCCGGGCCACAGTGCAGGAGAGAATCTGCAATAGGAAAGAGGGGGTCACCTATCAGACACCACACAGACACCCCCTGTTCTCTAGGAACAGGGGACTCTGGGCTTGCTCTGTGTAGGCCTGGTTGACTCAGTCTCTCTGGGGAGCAGAAGCTGGTTGTGCCTTTGCTCTTGTTAGCAACAGTAACAGTGCTTGCCAGAAACACGGAGAAGCAGTTAGCCAAACAGTTCACCTCATGACTTACTTGATTTCAGGTAGAAGCAGTATGTGAACTGCCTGTTACGACTGGACTGGCATGAATCCACCAAGCAAGGAGCGCTGCAGGAGACTGTGAACGTGGTGAGCACTGATCCCTGCTTGGGAGACACAGCACAACTGGGGATCTCAGGCGGAGGCACGGTGCTGACAAGGTATGTTTCCTCCCCGTAGCCATGCTGAGTCATTGCTGGGAGTGGAGGGAGCAGAACGTCAGCAATAATCATGCCCTGGCAGCACTGATCTTCAGACATTAATCTTGCCTACTCTAGCAATGATGCTGTTTGTTCAGGCACCAGAAATGTCAGGGTAGGCCTAATCAGAAATGAAATCCCACTACTGAATAAGCCGTAAGGGGAAAAGAACATGGTAGTGCTTGCATTATTTGATCAAAGCTGTATTATTTGATCAAGTATTTAGCATAACTTCATTTCCAGATGGGCCTTAACAAAGTTATTAACAGCTTGGAGTAAGATAACTGAATTTGTCCTGCTGTGCAACAGCCCATAACAAACTTAGCTCTCAATTATTTTAAAGAACCCACATATAAAGTAACAGCTCTCAACCTGTGGAATGATTTAACTTACTTGTCACCGATACTATGTGTGTGTAACGTCAGTGTGATGTCATGATGGCAGAAACTATCTCAATGGAGTCTGAGAAACCCTGCTTGCCCCTACCTGTTACTTTAATCTGAAAAGCTTCTCGCTGTGTCTGCAAGAAGGAACTGTTAATTTTCAACATGGATGTGTTGCTTTGAAGCAAATTCAAAGAGTTCTGCCGGAAACCAGTCAGGCCACAGGCTAGAGGGAGGGGCGACTGGAAAATCAGACAGAAAAGAAAACATGACAGTAGAGGCTCTTTGCTGTGTTTTCTGTTGTGATTTATCAGGAGCGGGGTGGCAGCTTGGTACCCCTCATTATAACCCCTCCCAAACCTGGCAACCCCTTGTCTCGGTCTTCACTATTACTTCCAAAGCGTCCATTTGACAAAAGTATCACTCTGAGCCACGTGCCGTTCCCTTAGGATGGATGTTTATTTTTGTGTGTGCAGTATTTCTGACAAATCTGATGCTCTCACCTTGGTTTGGAATGTGTTATCTAAATACCAGTTATAACATATGGCCTGGGAGTCCTTCTGTCCAGAGACACTCAAAACAACATCATCACTAGCATTCACGGGCTTGCAGTTTGCCTCACACCTGTAAAGAATTAAGATGGTAGTTACAGGTAGTAACTATATGAGATGTCATAGCCCTTGATGTTGATTGTTTTACTCTCATTTGATGAAAATCTGCAAAAGCCCTGCAATATGAGACAGGTGACACATGACTCACAAACAGCGAAATACTTAATTTTAAAGCAAGAGATTTCGGAACCTTCATCTCCATTTTCAACATGACTGAGGCCCAGAACCCACAAACTATTTATGTTGCAAAACTGATTCAGGCTCTCAAATGAAGCCTGCCTCTAAGCTCCTGAAATTATTGTATTAACAGATCATTGAAATGCCACTGCTCTTTAATGAGGCACTAGACTCTTGAAGAACAGATTTTTTAAAGCAATAATGTGTATCTGGGTGTCTAGTGGGAATTTCAGACATATCTTATGGCTTTTACTCCCATTGTTTCAATGAGGTTTGCATATGGAAATCTCCAACACTACAAGGATGTAGTGGGGTCAAAAACCCTAAATGATTTTGGGAAGAAAATTATTCAGTTTATAAAAGAATTATGTTCAGAAATGTGGACTGGTTGCTGGAAAATGCAGCAAGACCCATTTTGTCTGTAATTCCTATGATGGTAAGGTATAAATAGATTTACAAAAATAAGTACTTTATCACTTTATTATCATTATTATTGAAAATTGTGGCCTTGCACTATGTTCGTGTAGTAATAACATTAACCAGTGAATACTATGGTTTAAAAACACACCTGATTTCTAGCTGCAGTTCTTGTTTTGCAGTCACATAGAGACATTGCTCGTCCTGCCTCTCTTCATTGCCATGGTTTCGGACTGTAACCCTGACAGTCACTGCCGACTTTGGAGGAGGAAGGCAGGAAGGTGGGATTTGCACCTCAGTTTGGTTGGTTAGGATTATCTGTTGCTGCACACATTCGTTCCACTCAGGCCAGCAAGCTCCTGCAAAACGTTTCCTTTGTAATTAGAATAGTCATAACATCCCAGGTCTCTTGTAAAGGACTTTCCTGCCATAGGTTTCAAAGAGCTTTATAGAGCAAACAAGTTTCCTGAACCCAATTTAAAGAGTGAGTAATGAAAGTTCAGAGTACAGACTGACTTCTTCAAAGTAATGTATGAGGCCAGGGATAAATATGGGGACAGAACACAGATGTCCTGAATCTCAATCCAATTTTCAACCATAAATGTTTTTGCATCATATTTGATGCTAATTATTGCTGTTTTATTGAGACACATGTACCTTGCAAATGCCTAACTATGTAAGTCACTGGGGATTATTTCTATGAGGGTGAGGGCTTACGACGGGCAGATCTTAAAAAATTGAAACCTGGGAGTAGCCACCTTTGGGAAAAGAAAAAAACTGAGTACTGTGCCATATTATATACCATAATTAGTTCAGTGTTAAAACCAGGGTAAGGTAGAAGGACATTGTTCATGTACAGTGAGTGGCAAACTTTAAAGCCAGAGAGTAAACAATCCTTTAGTCAGATTTTCACCACTTGATCTGACATGACAGTGAGTTTTTTACTTGTCAAATAGAAGTTGGTGGAAAAGTTCAGGAAATGCACATACCACAGGACCAGAGAAAACTGGAATTATTGTTGTTGTCTGGCCAGCCAAGTGTAACGGTTGTGAAAGGATCCACATGGCGACTCGGTTTAATATATATTTTGTTTTCTCTTTTGTGATCCTAAATAATAAGTAAATGTATCAGTTAGGACAGGAGCATGTATAAACACATACATATCTTGCTTCTTTATAATGAAAAAGGTCTGAAAATTTAGACCCTAAATCACTGTATGCAGATCTGTCGTTTAAATGATCTTTCCCAAATCAGTGGTAGTATGGAAGTAGAAGCTATGGGAATAGAAGCAGATGGCACAGAGAAATTGTGTGGCAAAATACTCCCAAACTCATAGGTAGTGTAGGAGCCCAGCTCCCATTTTCAAAACTAATGCAGGTACTTAGGAAACTAATTCCCATTAATTTTCCACTTCTGGACCAAGACTTTTAACCCTTGGACAACCATTTGTCTTCTAGTACATCTTCTAGTACATTCCTTTTTTACCTCAATTGCATACAGGTAGCTGAATTTGTCTTTCTGTGCAATAAACTGTGATAAACTTAGTTTTGAATTAGATTTATATTCCTCTAATGCAATATATTCTTACAGGCAATCTGTAAAGCATGATGTTTTTTTGTGAAGCAGCACGTCTCCTATAGCAGACATCTGTCTGCCAGTGTTATAGTTAAAAACTAGACCTTTAAGATGATAACAAAATAGTATATCTGGCAATTTTATTCTTTAAATTTGTGCAGGTGCTAGCAATTGATGTATCATTAGTTTCTCAGTTTGCCATAAACTGGAAATTTCTTCTTTGCAAAGTAACTTAAACATTCCAGTACAGAAGCAGGAAACACTTAGAAACAATATAAAAATATATTAAACTCTGCTTGAAGGATAGCCCCTCAAAGAGAGGTTTCCATTAGTCATGTAGATAATGTAAAAATTCATCTAAGCACATGTCAACTTCCAAAACGGAATAATTGTGAAAAGTTCATTTTCTCTAATCCTGTAATTGTTACTTGCAGGCTTTTACGAATTGTAGATTGAATGCCTGTAAACACATTTGTCTCAGAGACTTTTGGTGTAGATTTTATGTTAAACCATATGGGGCACAGAAAATCTAGTCCATAATCTAGTATGCTACAAATACTTCTTTTCAATATCTTATGCAGCACTTTTACTGGTAAGAAAAATTTCTAAGCATTTCAATTTTAAAGAAAGATCCTTAAATAATACTTACATTTGTCTTTTGGCTATTTGTTTTGGAGCTGCCTTCTTCCTTAGCAGAATCTGCTTAATACAAAAAAGAGCAGAATATTTTAGTGCTACCTGTAAAGCTTTCAGAGATCTTTACTAAATATGACTTAAATACACAGGATTTGATTACCGGCAGTCTGAAGGATAGGGCTATAAGAATCAGACTTTAGAACTGTGATAAACAGTCTAGTTACAATAGGTAGAATTGTAACAACAAGCTAGTCACATACTATAAAGATGATCCTGATTCTTCAAACATAATGGTGTAAATCAAAATAAATTCAGAGAAGATGATGGAGTTTCATCAATGTACAAAGAAAAATTGAGGGAAAGCACTGGAAAAGTCTCAGTAGGATTAGTACTTTATTCCTGGTAATAAAACAATCTGCTTTTGTAAATGTGAGGATGAGCCATCTAGAAGCATTTACTGACAGCAATTTATGAGACTGCTGTGATGCAAATATTTCTTGGTTTCAGAGCTACGTCCCGAGCCATAAACTTCGCTAATTATTTCTAGGACAAATAGCAAATGTGCAATGTGTAACATATACAGAGTGATGCTAATTTATGACTAAGCCAGGGAATCTGCCTTCATCAGGAAGAAGCCTCCACAAAAGTTTTCAGCACTGTTGCTGGAAGGAAAGCAATTACTAGATGCAAACCATAAACACTCCATGAAATGCTCTGATTGCAAAAAGACATTTAATGGTCAAAACCAGCACTGTCAGATTAATGCAATTACCTTCTTTATGAGAACTGTTTGCCAATATAGTGATGAACCCAAGATCTAGACTCATGTTTGAGAAGGCATTCATGGCCACCACTTTCACTAGGTAAGTACCTAGAGAAGACAAATGGCTGGTTAAGAATAGCAGTGGGACCAGTCCATCATGGATATAAAATGGATATAAAATCCAATTAGTAAAGAAAATCCTATTATTTTCTGTTAAGAGCTTTGGGTTTTTTCTGATGAGTTTCCACTGCTGAAAGGCTTTTCAAGGAATGTTCTTCCCCTTTATCTCAGCTTCTTAATAACTCAGCTGCCTTTGTCCTAGCACTTGCAATGCTATTCTTTGTCAGCTGGCTATGATATTACCACACAGGAAACTAGAGGTGTCCTAATACTGGAGTCCAAATTAGTTTAGGCATCTTGAGAAACTAGCTGTCTTGTTTGAAAATTTCTGCCTGGAGGGAAAGGATGTTCAAATGGGTATAGGGAGACCCAATAAAACTTTTAATATTGAATAATTTTAAAACATAAAATGAAATCATAATTAGCTTCTAGTGTTCCAGCTTTGGCATGGGATTTGAATAGTTCATTATAGGAGGAAATGTTTTTATCTTCTGCCACTGAATTAACTCTTAAAGACAATCTCTCTAATCCCACATTTTAAAGGCTTTGATTTCTTAATAATGGAAAGAAAAAGTTACTAAAAAGCTTATTCATAAGTAAGTCTAACAAAAATTACGTGTTGGACACCGACGCACAGAATAGCTCCCCTTTTCTTTGTCATCTCTACTGAGAACTCCTCAGATGATTATTAATTAATGCAGCGTAAAATGCAGAGGAGTGTAAACTTGAAAAGTTATACATATGAACAAACAGGAAGAAAACACTTTGTGATTCAGGAAAATGTCATCATTTGTACTTGAATCAGATCATGTCATGAAAAAATAAACCCCGGTTCACTATGTCTTTTTTATTGCAAAAATCAGGTGAAGCCTTGCTTTCAGTCTCTGTAGGGAGAACCCATTTGCCAGTTCAATTTTTTTAGCTCGCTTACAAGTCAGTAAGACGGTGCTGTTCATACTGTTCTGCAGACCAAGTTTAAGCAGCCAGAAAAGCTACCGAATTCAGCTGTACGTTATTGTCCCCTATCCCAGGGTGCTATTTATGTGAACTCCTCTACTTAGCTGTGAGCGTCTTAGAAATACAGAAGATGTCAGCATGCTGTACCTTCAGAGTGCACGGGAATGATGTACATTCGAGGTTCCCCATGAGGGCCGTCTTCGTTGTACGAGTGAGTTTCATTAGAACCAATCATCTCAAACTTCAGCTTATATGGGGCACCATGAGACAGAGAGACATTTATCTCCAAATTCTCTCCCGGTTGCAGGGTGTGAGAAGCTAATGCAGCCTGAAGACCAGATACTGGCTCAATTAAGTGAACAGCAATGCTCTCAGAGATCTCCAATGAGGTTGTGTTGCTGGATGCTCGGATTTCCAGCTGATGTATCCCTGGGCCTAGCAGCTCTTGAGAGGCACTGTCAAGTGTCAGATTGTGAGGGACAATTCCTTCCTTTGCACTGGATTCAGTGAGTGTCATGTTATCTGCTAATATAATGTAGGTCACTCCGTTGCCTGCAAAAAGACAGTTCAAAATTTCTCACAGCTTGCATAATAGGCCATCCAATTCTAGCTGCTTTGTGCAGCATTCAGGTACTTATAAAGGAGTCATAAGAACACTGCAGCAATGCAGGCTTTTGTGCCCCTCTAGGCTTCCTATGGAAGTCTATCACGTGTTTTCTGCTGGGAATGTTAGGGCAGTCAAGAGAATTCAAACATACACTACTGAATTTTATTTTTTAAGCATATATGTGGATTCCAGGAGCTTGAAGTGAGAACAAAATACACATCAGCAAATGTGACCGGCTCAGCATGAAATCCTCTTACCCTCAATCAGAGAAGCATTTCTGTGGATTCCTAACTTTGAATATGGAAATATTCCTATTGGCTTCATGTAGATTCATGTGACTAAAATTTTGTCAGCTTTGTGTAGAGGGAAAAAGGTTTTATACTTATGTTTGAGGTGGTGTAATAGCTCTGAGAAAGAACCCCTCCAAAGGAGCTGAGAGCATTCAGTTGCAGGAATACATTCACTAAAAAGAAGTATTGTTTTGCATAATGAAGATCCTGCTTCTATCCCATGGGTAGCATAACATTTAGCCTGCCATTTAAATCATGCAGAGTAATTACTCTCACCTCCATTGAGTCCAACTTGAATCCACAACAACTGCCCATACAGTGTACGGCAGTGAGAGCTGTTCCCAGATTCGTACTGGCTATAGCACCCAGTAATGCTTAGTTGATCCATCTTATCTTGTACAGTCACCCGCTTCTGTGCCGTCACGTGCCATTCGCTGGTGGTACATTCCACAAAAACAGTAAATTCTCCAGGAGATGAATATCTATATGTGACGTTGCTGAGCAGTCTAGAATAGAAAGAAAACTTGCTTGTTGTGGAAGACTGTCCTTGGAAGTCCTTAGCATTACGTGGTAACAGTGGTCACGGTTCCCAAATTTCTGACCTGACTGAGCTGTAATCCCTTGTTTATTTACATAGAATTTTTAGGGTTGAAGATTGTTCCGTTGTTCCAGCTATGGTGTCATTAAGGATGTATATCGGGGTGGTCATTCTCAAAGCATATCTATAAGGATGGATACATTTTGCTGTAAAGTAGGTAGATTACAGTTCAATAACATGTGGCATTAGATTTGGTCTATGTCTTGTTGACTTTGAGCATAGTCATGTGACTATGCACATTAGAACGTGTAACGGTACCCTCAATTTCTCTAATCTTGGTTTTACTCCCAATTTACCATCTCGTAGATATATCATTGGAAGCTGAGACTTCTCAGCGTTTTGTTAGAGTACTCCCTTGCTCTTTTGGATTTTTTTAATGTGCAGCTGCTTCTATACTTGCTCATGCTGGCAAAAATATCTCTTCACTCCTGGGTCTGGTGCAGCTCAGGTCGCGATAGCAATAGGGGATGAATGGATATGAAGAAGTCTGCGGTAGCTGCTATTATTACTAACAAGCATAGGGAGATGGTGAAAAGAACCGAAGGATATCCTTCTTGAATGACATACACCATGGAAGGCAATTAAGTAATATTCCTGACACTATTCTCTCTGAACTATTTATATTCTTATCATGGTACCACCTAGCAAATGCAAAGAAAGATCAGGTCATATCATTCTTGACAATGCATATTTTTCATTAGCTGTTTTAATGAAAAAAAAGGTTTCATTCTAACTAGACTTCAAAAAAATGCCAATGACAAGACCAGACCAGAAAAAGCAATCCCTATAAGAGTGGGTATCAAACTGGGCACAGAAAACAGATGAGCATGACTGCGAGCCATTTAATAGGTAGGTAAAAGGGCTTCCCATAAAAACAGCCAGCCTCTGCTTACAGCTAGCAAATATATTTCACTTAAAGGTTCACTGTCAAAGTTTTTTTTTCAAGTTCTTTACAGCTATGGGCCTGTGTCTGTAGCTCTGAAAGAATGTCTACTATTTCTAGTATGTTCTACTTTCTGGTTTTCATTCTTCTATTCTGATTTTTCTAGTTGACTCAAGTAGGATTCCATTAGTAGACAAATACATTTCTAGAGACATTCCCTGTCATTCCTAGCACTAGGACAAAATGTGATTTTTAAATCCAACAGAAAAATGTTTGATCCTTTAAGGACGCAATTTTTATGCAATTAAAATAAAAGAAAAACTCCAGAATGCCATGTTATAAAAAAATACTCTTTAAATTTAAGAAAATAATGCTTGTCTGTTTCTTTGGCAATTACTGACATGTTTTCAGTAATTTTGTGTGCTCAGGTTCTGGAATAAATTCCCTTAATAAGAAATAGGAATCATATTAAGCAGAAGAAAGATTGTGGTTGGCAGCTTGACATAAAATTTTGTATTAATTTCAGAACAAGTTTCTGCAGAATCCAAGTGTCTTGTATGTATTGTCTATTATTAATCTAGTTGATTTTTAACATCTTATTTAAGACACTTGAAGCATTCAATAAAATGCAAGCAGTGAAATTTACTGGTTGTCTGATGATACATGAAGGATATATCTTACGTTAGAGGGTAGTAAGGATCAATAGTGTGGCCATCTCCAGTGCTAATGATACAGGAAAGGTTGCCAGAGTATGGAGAGAGCAGCCAGTTCAAACTGACCGTGATACTTTCAAAGACAAAGCATGTATCTGTTACAACGAGCTGCAGACCTGTAAAACATAATGACAGAATTCATTGCCATTGTTTGTCTACATTTCTTACATAATTCAATTAATTTTCATGTATTGAGAGCAGGCCTTCTCCAAAACAGAGTTGGTATTGCTGCTAATTTGAGTGCATTAGTGGTGTGAGAGGGAGCTGATTTTTTTCCTCACCTAGTGGTCAAGATTCTTGTTGGAACATAATTTCATTTAAGTGTGTTTTATGTGTCTGAATTTCCTGGCTTTGTATCCTATCAAAACCCCTCAGTTAGGACTCAGTTGGGAAGCTACATTTTTGTGCCTATTTTTAGTGGTCACCACTCCGAGGATGGAGCAGTGATTTTTAAGATAAATATCAATGGTCACAGTGTTACAGCAAAGAGCAGAACAGGCTTTTGGTGTTGACAGCCCTCTCCCACTTACCTTCCTTGCAGTGGTATTGAATAGACAAATAGCTTCTGGAAGCTGGACAAGGATCTCCAAAGAAAGTGCCATCCGCTGCCACCTGGCAGGCCTGAAGACCATGACACTGGCCTGGAAAGAAGGATCGTTTTATATGAACTAGTGGGTTTTGTCTTTGACTGTCATAACAGCTCAAATGAGAGATGATTACAGAAACAAAAAGGGGAGGGGGAACAATATCATCTCACTGATTTCTAGACAAACTCCCACATCACTTTGACTTTAGTGTGTTGCTTATTGCCTGGTATTCCTTAGTACCGTTCCACTTTATTGGAATAAAGCTGAATTAGGGTAAAAAAAAAAGTAGTTACGTGTTTTGTTTAATTTTGGCTGGAAGTCCAAAGAATCACCACAGGGACAGGCCATAGTCACTGTTTAGTCTGGCAAGAAGCAGAGCCCTGTAGCTCCAGCAGGCTGTGTACTTATGAGGAGCGGCTGAGGGAACTGGGGCTGCTTAACCTGGAGAAGAGGAAACTGAGGGGAGACCTCATCGCGCTCTACAACTACCTGAAAGGAGGTTGTAGCGAGGTGGGGGTTGGTCTCTTCTCCCAAGTAACTAGCGACAGGACGAGAGGAAATGGCCTCAAGTTGCGCCAAGGGAGGTTTAGATTGGACATTAGGAAAAACTTCTTTACTGAAAGAGTGGTCAGGCCTTGGAACAGGCTGCCCAGGGAAGTGGTGGAGTCACCATCCCTGGAAGTATTTAAAAGACATGTAGATGAGGCGCTTAGGGACATGGTTTAGTGGGCATGGTGGTGTTGGGTTAATGGTTGGACTTGATGATCTTAGAGGTCTTTTCCAACCTTAATGGTTCTATGATTCTATGATTCTATGATTCTATGATTCTATGATTCTATGATTCTACTCGACACACAGCAGGCAGCAGCAGCTCCCTCCTGCCCTCCTGTCCCCATGGGTGCCAGCCTTTTCACCCCTCCTGGTTTGGAGTTAGGTTTGTATGGATGTGTTCTCTTCCATCTCTGTCAAAACTAGGGTCTCCCATTGGAGAGTGAGAGGAACCCTTGTTCTCATTTGCTCCCCCTCTCCTTCTCTGAATCTTTGCTCCTCGCAATCCATCCAGCCTTCTGTGGGAACCTCTTCCATGTCACAGTTCTCTGTGATTCCCTTCATTCTAGGAATAATCCACTTTCCTATTCACTAACTCTACTGAAATTCAAGATAAAATATTTTAGGGACAAGGAACTTTGGCACGTACTCTATGCTTCTGACAAGCAATGTCGTAAGATACTACCTGCTACTTCGTCTTTGACGCTGATCCAGCTACAGTCTTCATCTGTATCATACTGGAGAGGAGTCTCTGATACACAGTAGTGAGGGGTCTTCCGTCCATAGAAGCTCTCTCCAATTTGAATAACTTCTCCTGATCCACATTGTACAGTGGCATTGTGATTTTCACAAGCAATGCTCTGGCCAGATTCTAATAGGAGAAAAAAAGTCAGATTTAACTTCTTGAACTTCTGAAAAATCTTGCTACAATTCTGCATATCCATTTTTTTGTTTCTCTTTCTTCCCTTTTCTCCCTTTTAAGCTAAACAATTAAGAAAATGGGAAAAAAGAACAAAGAATAAAATATTTTTGCTTTTTTAAAATCCAAAATAATAGATTTGTGGTCTTTACTGCCTTAAACAAAAATTTGAGAACATTTTTAATAAACAAAAATATTTTAATTTAAAAAATAAACATATTTTTGTGGAAAACACTTAGCATTTGTTTGACCTGCAGTACTGGAAGGTTTATAGTTACTCCTTACTTCTGAAAGAGCCTTGTGGCGGTGTATGATTTGCATGATATTCAGATAATTGCTCTGGAGAATAGTTTGCATATTAAGTATGGGACCTGATCCCATTTCTGCTACAGAGACACCTTTGTTCCTGTGTGATATTTGACTGACTTCATTCAGCAGG